ACTTGGTCGTATGGAAGCATTTCGTGAGGTGCAACGGAAGGTTGACCAACCGCAACCCTAGACGTCCACCCCCGACCATACTGAGGCTTTCGGAGGCGAAATACAGGGAAGCAAACTTCACTCATCGCTGCCAAACTCTCAATGCATATGCGTTGGGGTTTGATGGACGGGTACTACCAGGGTGCCCAGTCACTAAACAGGAGAATGATTAGGGTCCTCGTCCAAACCTCTAGTTCTGACAAGAACCTAACCGCAAGGTAGCAGATGAAGCCGAGTGAAGACCCACTTACTTGGATCGATTATTCTTCCACTTTTTTTGCCGAATGAGTCGCAAATTCCATTCTAACCCCCAAACTGGAGGACCTGGAGACTGGACTTCGTCCGACTTCGATCATCCGACCTTCCAAAAATGATTAGATCTTTGGCTTGATAAAAGCCATCCAGTGTAGCTCGTAGGGTGAGATGCACAAGCGATCACGTCACCTCAAGGTGCAGTCTAGTCGTCGCAAAATACCACCTCTCTTTCTGACTGATGCATTCCAAAACGTATATTTTGACTCACCGTAATCGATGCCGAATTAGTGGCTAATCCAAAAACATATTGTACTTCAGCAATAATGCTCTCCAAAGTGTCCACTGCACAACCCTTGCTCAAATTGCTATTGCGATTTGTGTTCTGGCACTGATACCAGTGCTCCGGGTTTACAGATTTTCTAACAGAATCTCTTGTGATAACTGGCACCCATTTAGTAACGCGAACTACCCTCCATCCTCCTGAGAGCAAAGCATTATGTCACACGATTATGCACAACTGTATGAATGCTCGCACCTTCCCTTTACTCATGTAATTTTGAAAAAGAGTAAGACAAACTCTTTGTTTAGTGCTACTGGGTTTTGGCTTGGGGCAACAGATTTCTGGCCATAGGCAATAAAACCACAAGTTCATATGTTCAGTTTGTGAAGATTGCCTTATTTGTTTTATCACGTAACTATAGAAATTTAAA